CACAGAGAAGACAGGGGTCCCTCTGAGAGAGGCCTCTGGCAAGCCAGCGCAGCCTTCTCAGATGTGGATGAGGGGTGTGGGATCACCTCGAAAGAGCCATTATTTTAAATAGGCTGAGCCTGAGCCAAATAATAATCAGTACGTTGTCTTTTGCCTGGAAACAATTTGGCAGCCAGCCAGCACAGTACTTTGGCACAGGTGTAATGTGGTGTCTTTGAGTTCTTCCAGAAACCAATCTGAGTGCTGAATTCATGCAGTTCTGTGTCTCTGTTTGGTTTACATTTTTTATATCATTTCACCATATGATTTTATAGAATGCATTCTTGTTTGGTGACCCACACATACAGTAGGTCATGTGCTGAGTGGACAGTTCTACAACAAACAAATATTGTGGTGTTTAAAGGCTTGGCCAGAATAGGAAAGAGCTGGGCTCTGGTATGTCCTCCACCGTTGATATTCCCTGACTGACTTTGAAGTGGTCATTCTGCTTTAGCTCAAGCTAATTCACGGGGTGTGTGTGTGTGTTCTGGGCGTCCATCACTTTTGGGAGACCTGAAGGATTGGATTTTGGACAGATCAACCTGATCAAAATCTTTTTATGTGATTGTTAAGAATTGACACTGACCTGAAAGCACATAATCAATCTATCAGTCAATCAGTCAGCTTACCACCCAACCAGAAACATAATTCCTGTTATTATACTTGACACCAAACACAAGCAACATGCAACTTAGCCAGGTTCTGTGTAGCTACCTATAAAATCAGACACACAGTATTTATTATTTATTACATTTATCCCCCGCCCTTCTCCTGGTGGACTCAGGGCGGCTTACAGCCAGTTTAAAAACAAAACAATCAGACAATTTCCTGTCTGGTTTACCCAGAAGGACTGACATCAATTTTGCAACTCTGAAGGTACAAATCTCCCACCGTTACTTTTCACTGCCTGATCTATTAGGGCAGCCCCTTCCTAAGATTTTGCCTCTCACTGTCAAACCACTGGTGCTCCCCCCATTCTTGTCTGATGCCCCTTCTCAGGCAGAGAGAGCTTCAGTAATAAGTACCAGGTGTGCACAGCTTTCTACTATTCTCTCGTGATGAGGGTTTATTACATATAAAGGTAAAGGTAAAAGTTTCCCCTGTCCAGTTGCTTCTGACTCCAGGGGTCGGGCCTCATCTCCGTTTCTTAGCCGAGGGAGCCATCGTTGTCTGAAGACATTTCCATGGTCATGTGGCCATCATGACTATATGCCAAAGGCACATGGAAAACTGTTACCTTCCTACCAAAGGGGTACCTGTTTATCTAATCGCATTTGCATGCTTTCAAACGGCTAGGTTGGCAGGAACTGGAGCAAATAACAGAAGCTCACCCCATGGCGTGGCGCTCAGGTCTTAAACCCAGGCTGTAAGCTATCCACCTGACAAACTCCCCATCTTTAATTGCTGAGCCATTGCACCCACTTATTACATATCGACTCAGCCTGTGCCGGCAGCTGACGATGAGAGCAATTAACCAATGGAACAGCTTTCCTCCCAGAGCTGTTTTCAAGAAAAGATTGGACAACCGTTTGCCTGGGAGGGTAGAAGGTGTCCTGGCTTGAGCAGGATCCCGTCCAGCCTCTGATTCTATGTTTTTGTACCATGGAGTGTATCAAGGTTTATGGCTTGTTTTTCACTTTTTGTGAAAAGTGAAAGAAAGAACTAAAGTGGAAAATATCAGAGATGCCAGATTTTCAGACCAAGATACACACAACTGAACAATCATGTTGTCACATCTTGTTCAGTAGACAATGTTCCACTTTGCTAAGTGCAAAATAATGGAAGGTTCAGCTGTTCGCCCACTGCAATTTTTAACAGAAAGTTGAGAGCCTAGAGACGCCCCCTGTATGGCCAATTTTAAACAGAGGTTCAAATGTCACATTGATGAAGTTGTCAGGCATAATTATGGTAGTCACATCTGGCTAGAGCAGAGGTTTAAGCATCGTTCTGTCCCAGCTGCATCACTCCGTTCCTGCCTGCGTGAAAAGCCTGCCTGCTTGGTAACCAGCACCATTGTGCCCTTCTGCCCTCATGTCCCCAAACGCTACGCTGGGCAAAGGGGCCACCAGAGGCCGAAATCCCAAAGGCTGCCATGGAAGCAGAGGCCTCTCGGGAGTGGAACATGCTGCCTTAAGGAAGGGCTGGATGCCTTTTTCTCCATCCCAGCCCTTGGAAGAGCTGGCCTTCTTTTAAAAGTCAGGAGGACCTTGCATGTCTTCTGGAACAGCGGCCCCCAACCTTCCTGGCTTGGAGGACGGGTGCAGGGAAGAGGGGCCGGTTCCGGGTGAGTGGCAGATACGGGCACAAGTGTGCATGATTCCATTTGTGCCAGCAACGGGCACCCACACGCACCGCTTACACAAATGGAGCTTTGCATGTGAGCACCTGCCACTCACACAAGTGGAGCTGTGGGCGCCCATGAGCTCGCCCACTGTTTGTGCGGCCCTGTTCCGAATGGGTCATAGTCCGGTAGTAGATCGCGGCTCGGAGGTTGGAGGCACCTGTTCTAGAAGGGTCCAAATTGTTACAACAGCAACCAAAGACAGCTCTGTTGTGCCCTGGAGGCAGATCAGCGGGCATTAGTCTCTGAAAGTCTTTAGGAGAGTGAAGCTTTCACTCCAGCAGAAGCTGGAAGAATTTGCCCCAGAATACAGAACAACAGAGTTGGAAGGGACCTTGAAGGTCTCCTAGTCCAACTCCGTTTAAGCAGAAAACCCTATACATCTTATAGGTACCACTTCAGTGGGAAGACCAACTCTGAAAGGCAGACGGTTGCATTATGTCTGCCTTGCTAGTCGTGTAAGAGTCCATAACTTAGAGGAATGAGGAGCGGGCTCCCTTCCCTTCCTAGTCACCTCTTGGATTAAAGAAGATCTCCATTCTTGCCTTCCAAGGCGAAAAGCCATTCTGCTGGGCGTGAGGAACACTTACAAATAAATCACGGTCTCCTGGATCACCCTGTATTTATTAACCAGAGGTTTGAACGTGTAAAAACTTTGGGTTAAATATAAATGGATTCACATGTTTGTTAATTATGGTTTACTAAATAAATTATACATGGGTTTGTACAAGAAGGCATAAACAATGGCTCAACCAAGTGCACAAAGTTCTATCATTGGCAATTCACAGAACACTTAAATTAATTTTAAACCGTAAATGTGGCCAGTCTTGCAAAATTGCCACGTTTCTGAGATTTGGGATGAGAATGTTAATATCTTGCAAGATCTGCTCTAAGAGTTTAGCTTTGTTTATGTTTAAATGTTGGCCCTGCATTGTTGTGCAGAATTGTGCAAAAGTTTCCAATGCCTGAAAACATTTCCAATCCCTGCAATAAATCATACTTTAAAATCACCGTGACTGAGCTCTCACATTAAACAAAACCCAAACAAACCAGATGACATCTTCGGTAACATGAAGAGTCCATCTTTGGCCCTAGTAAGTCATTCTCATGGGCAAACAGGGCACATTTCAAGCGATGGGCATGTAAACATTAGGCTTCAGAAAGGAACAGTAATAGTTTAAAACATTATTTCTGAATTATTACTCTAGAGATAAATTGAGGTCATGAATGGTTCAAGGAACAGTTGGCTACATTTATTCTTTTTATAAAACTTTGCAATTCCTCTTTAATTATCTGATACGCACAAGGAACACTTTACCCGCTCCTTCTTCTCTAACAGCTTTTTAAAATATTTCTCTGGAAAGCTCATATCATCTTCACTGCTACAAGTATCATTTGCTATATAATTGAGTGCGTGGGCAAACCATTAAGAACGGTGCTCTTTCCTCTCATTTCCACAAGCTACAGAAACCAACTACAAAATATTTTAGAGAAAATAGAAAATTGTGCTTTGGTTTACTTATATTTATATTCATATTTGAATGAATGAATGAGGCTCAGCTTATTGAACAGGCCAGTGTTTCTCTATCTTTGGAACTTTAAGATGGGTGGACTTCCAACTCCCAGAACTCCACAGCCAGCACGGTGTTGAAAAACATTGCAACAGAGTGAATTGCAAGCTGGTCAGATGCACTGATCAAACTCAGCTGCGGTGATGGCAAACAAATTTTGGGGCAGCCCCTCAAATTCTGGAAGGACGCTATCTGGTCACCCCCGGGTCCTTCTTTTCTCTAGACTGGCCATGCCCAGTTCCTGCAACCGTCCTTCATATTTTTGTCTCCTGGCCCTTAGTCATTTTGGTTCCTCTTTGCCCTTTTTCCAAAGTGTCCACATCTTTTTTGTAATGTGGTGACCAAAACTGGATGCCGGATTCCAGGTGTGCCCTTACTAAGGCTTTATAAAGCGGTACTAAGACTTCACTTGTTGTTGATTCTGTGCCTCTCTTTATGTAACCCAGGATTGTGTTGGCTTTTTCGGCTACCGCCGCGCGCGGCCGGCTCACAACTGAGGGGGCCGTCCACGGAGACTCCAAGGTCCCTCTGGCAGTGGCTATTTTGGAGCCCGGTGTCGAGCCCGGTCATCGGAAAGCGGCGAGGGCGGGATCCCCAGGGCGCTCTGCACGAGCTCCGAGACCCTCCGCTCTTCAGACGGGCAGCGGGGGGGGGGGAGCGGGCGGGCGGGCTGCGGCCGGGCGCCTCCCCTCCTCCCGCGGGGCTCTCGCGCCGGCCGAGGGGGCGGGGCTCCCAGGGGCCGGAGGGGGCGGCCCCCCGATTTGCATGCGACTCAGACGGGCGGCGGGGCGCGCCTTTGCGCAGGAGGCCGGGCGCGCGCCTGGCCGGGGGGGGGGGAGGAGCCGCCGCGAGAGGCGCGTTGGGCGAAGTCGGCGAAAAGTTGGCGGCGGCGTCCTCCGCTTTGTCCCGGGCCGAGCCCGGCCGCGCCTGGCCCCGCGCCGCCCGCCCGCCCGAGCCGGGGAGAGAGCCGGGGCGCCCGGTGGGCGAGGGCTCGGCGCCGCCGGGGGAAGGCGGCGGGGCTCTCCAGTCCCGGCCTCCCCGCGCCGGCCATGTCGTCCATCCTGCCCTTCACGCCGCCCATCGTGAAGCGGCTGCTGGGCTGGAAGAAGGGCGAGCAGAGCGGGCAGGAGGAGAAGTGGAGCGAGAAGGCGGTGAAGAGCCTGGTGAAGAAGCTGAAGAAGAGCGGGCAGCTGGACGAGCTGGAGAAGGCCGTCACCACGCAGAGCGCCGCCACCAAGTGCGTCACCATCCCCAGGTAGGGCAGCCCCCGCCCCCGGGAGACCCCCCACCCCCCCGGGAGACCCTCCGGCCGGGGCGCCGCCTTTGTTCTGGGCGCGGGCCGCCCCCGCGGGACCCCGGCGGGGAAGCTTCTCGCGGGCGGGCCCCGGCCGGGGTCTCCGGCGGAGAGCGCCTGCGGGCGCCGCGAGCATCCCCGCCGCCCCCGGGCTGGCTCAGGCACGGACGCCGGCAGCGCTGGGAAGAAGGCGGGGGGGGCTGTAATTGGGGGGGGGGGAGAGAAGGAGGCTGTGAAAGTTTCGCGGAGGATGGAGAGGCGCCCGGCCGCCCCCCCCCCTCCGCGATTCGCGTGCTGGCCGGCAGTAGAAATAGGGACGAAGAAAACAGAATGTAAAAAAAAAAAACCCACCACCGTAAATGTGAAAATGTTCTCTCGTCATCGCATTCACTTATTCCCGCTTTGCTTTGCTTTGCTTTACATTTATTCCAAATCTGCACCGCTTCCGATGGTGTTTGTGCCGAAGCAAAACAGTGCAGCAATGGCAATTATTGGCCTCTACGAAATAAAGAGGCCAGCAAATGAGGCTAACGGCTGGCAAGAAGGCATCATCCTGCCAACTGCTCCCCAGCTCTTCTTTCCGTTCAACACCTACTTAGCACCCGGGCCCTTCCGGGAAGCCAGCTCGACTCCTCCCCGAAAGTTTTAACCCTGATTGACGCTGGAGCAGCTTGGTCAGAAGCGACCACGACCTGCCTGGCTCTCGCAGGCAAGAGCAGGCAGATCCCAGGTTGATGGAAGAAGGGCAAACACCTTGCCAGGACCTGGGCTGGGGGCGTCCCGTGCTTCCAGGGGGCTCGGTTCCTGGGGATCGTCGGCTGGGGGTCCGCCTGATGAGCAGCCTCTGCTGGCTTCCGGCCCTGTCTGCAAAGCGCCCCAGGGGTCTGGCTGAGCTGTCTGGGAGATCGGTGGAAGTGGGGCAGAGGTGCCGGCGGACTTGCGCTGTGCCTGACCCCTCGGCCGACTCTCCTTGGCCTCCATTGCTAGGAGGTCTCTGCTCAGGGAGTTCCCGCACATCTTCCTTCCTTGCCGGAAGAATCGCAGGGGTCTTTCTCCTCTCCTCTCCTCTCCTGCTGCGGGCTGCGCAAAGGCCTCCCAGAGCAGCCACCCACGGGAGACGATCCCCTCGGAACTCCCCTGGGGCGGGAACGGAGAAGGCAGTTGGCCTAAGCTGGACAGGGTGGGGATCGCTTGGCTGGCCAAGCGGTTTCCTCATCACTTATTTTGGCCCTTCATTCTGGGTTCTTATAGCCGAGTGTGATCGCTCCAGTTCACGCGTGTGAGCAAAAAACACAAACATTGAGTGGTTCTTCCAGAAACAGTTTTGAGTCTGGCGTTTCAGTTTGGTGCTCCATCGTCAGTGTTTGCTCGTGGAAGGGGCCTGGGCTCCTTGCTCCTCTGCTTTTCCTCTTTCGACCGGGTGGCCTCCTCTCCTTAGCGGCAGGGGAGAGTTCTCAGCATTCGGCCCAGAAGGCTTGTTTGTTTTCGTCCCTGCCTTTTGCTTTCCCAGCGCTCTGTAAATGTGAATCTTGGCTGTCGGAGTGACTGAGGAGGGACGGTGGCTCACACAAAGGGGCATCTGTTGTTCGGGCCAGCCAGGGAGATGGGAGGCCAGGAGGTCGGGGGGGGGGGGCAGTGCTGAAAATGTTTCTTGTTTGAAAGGCGTCCAGGCAGGGTTGCAGGCTTCTCAGGGCTGAGAGTCTCGCTGGGCAGAAAGTGCCTTTTGCAGAGAGACCTGACTCAAAATCAGGGGCATTTATGGCTGAGGAGTAATCCATCTCCCCCTCCCCTCCACTCATTGTTCTTCGGTAGTGCCAGTTTATTTGTTTGGGGAGGGGGAGCTTTTCTACAGAAGCTCATCTGGGTTTGAATTCTCCAGAAGGGACGGGGGGAGAGAGCTGGCATGCCTCTGAGCCACAGCTTGGATGAGAAAACCCCAATTTCCTCATACTCGCATTAGAGCTCTCTCCTCCTCTCCTTCTGGAGCTCAAGGCAACGTTCCCAGCTCTGCCTCCTTCTGATTTATTCTCTCCCAACAAGGCAGGGAAGTGACCTGCCCCACCTCACTCTCGGTGAGTTTGAAGGTTGAGAAGGATCTGAACTTGTGGCCTCCAGGTCCTTCTTCCCAACCCTCACACCAGGCAGCTCTCTGGGTCTTGTGCAAACTCTTCTCAAGAAAGCTCTCTTCTTTTTCAAGAGGTCCTTCTCTTGAACGGCCTGCCCAGAGCTCCCCGGCTGATACTTTTCACAGCCCTCCAGAGCTTCCTGGAACGTTGTGTAAAACTGATGCTGACTTTTCGCTCAGTGGTGAAAATGCCCTCCGCAGGTGGCAAGTCCCCGTGGATTGGCTTGTGCCAAAGCATCTGCTCCAGAAGGGCTGCTGTGTGAATTGACGAGGGGAGACCCTGGTTTGTATGAAAACCTTTCCAAGGACAGGAAAATTTTCCATTCCACCTTGCAGGTACAGATATTTTTTTTGTGGTCTTCCAAAGCCTCTTTCCTTATGCTAAAGGCTCACCCTGGTGGGAAATGTGCCTGCTGTTGCTTTCGTTCCCACCATTCTTGTGTTCCGAGCCTTTGCTGCCCTTTCAGCTCTGCCCAGACACATAACCCGTTTTACGGCATAAAAGGGAGGGCTGGGTTCGGAGAAGAAGCTAAGGTCTTGGCTGAATTTCTTGCAACAGGTTGAACCACGAGCTGCGCGTTGCCTGGCATTTTGCTCCTGGCATCTTCCACGTCCTGTAGTTTCATCGCTGTGCCGGAAAATTGTGCTACTTCTGTACTTATATAAAAGAATGATGGATTAGAGTGGAATTCTTTATGAATACAGATACTTAAAAAAATAAATTCTGGAAGGCAGTCAAGGGCCCTCTTGCTACACTGGCGTAACCCATTCTGCAGAGTCCGTCTGTTGACTTGTGCAGTTAGGTAATCACGGTGGAATAATCAGGCCTCTGATGAAATGTCTGTGTTAAAAGTAGAACTTGCAGTGAATTTTTAAGAATTACAGCAAGTGAAAGAAGATGAGGATGTGCCATGGGAATAATGCTGCAGGCTTCAGGCTTCAGCATCTAGTCAAACCTTTCTTCAATCTTCCTGCCACTCGCCTCCCCCCACAACTTAGCTTTTTAGCACCGGGTCTGATGAGAAGGCCAGGGATGTTCAAACACCTGAATGCCTTTTCTGAACATTGAGTTGGCCCTAGGAAGAAGGCATTGCCTGAACAACGGTTTTGGAGCGTATTTGCTCAATTTGTATAGTAAGGAGAGAGCAGGTGAGCAAAATCATCTCTCCTGTTATTAAAATGTTAGATTTCTGAAATGTTTCCATCAAGACTGCGGGAAGAGTAGAGATAGTCCGATCCTTGAGCAGCCGTCTGAGTTTGCAAGGGACCCCCCGAAAGGAACTTTCAGTGTTCAGCGTTCCGGCGGCTGCACCCAACCCGGTCACATGATCACATTCGGGGGGGGGGCTGGCTCAAAGTTAGGGCAATTTACAGTGTCCCACAGGCACGGGACTGGGATTTTTGACTTTGATTTCTGGCATTTGCTTCCAATTTCTGGCCAAAAATGTCCATTGGATAAAATGGATTTGCCTCACAACTGTAACATTTGCCTATCGACTCCTGCATTCAACTTAATGACCACCCCCAAAAAAGTTCACACAATCAGGCATGCTCACATGGTGACCCGCTTAATGACTACCATGGCTTACCACCATAATTCTGAACTTAATTACAGATGTAAATCAAGGCGAATCAGTTTGTATCAGGAGTACATGTTAGAGCATTGGGTCTCAAAGTTGTTTCGTGTTGATTTTTCCTTCAAGAATATCCACTTCTACAGGAAGAAGCAAAGTCAACTCTTAAGGAAGGCAGCACCAAAAAGGTACATTTCAGAAATAAGATAAAAGATAAATAATAAGATAAAGATAAATAATAAGATAAAGGCTTTACAAATCCTTAGTAAGACCACACTTGGAATACTGCATCCAGGTTTGGTCAACACAATATTAAAAAGATGTTGAGGCACTGGAAATAATGCAGAGAAGAGCAACAAAGATGATTAAAGGATTGGAGGCTAAAGCATACGAAGAATGGTTGCTGGAATTGGGCGTGTCTAGTCTAGTGAAAAGGATTACTAGGGGTGACCTGATAGCCACCGGTATGTTCCAATATTTGAGGGGCTGCCACAAAGAAAAGGGGGCCAACCTGTTTTCCAAAGCACCAAAAGGCAAGGCAAGAAACAATGGATGGAAATTAACTAAGGAGAGAAGCAACCTAGAACTAAGGAGAAAATTCCTAAAGGAGAGAGCAATCAACCAGTGGAATAGCTTGAAGTTGTGGGTGCTCCATCACTGGAGGCTTTCAAAAAGAAGCTGGACAGCCCTTTGTCTGAAATAGCATAGAGTCTCCTGCTTGAGCAGGGGGTTGGAGTAGAAGACCTCCAAGGATCCTTCCAACACAATTATTCTGTGTTCTAAACAACCTCTGCAGATCAGACTGAAGCCCCAGTTTAGATTATCAGCCATCTGTTTCCACAGCAACCAGTTTTGATGCCTTCAAAAAGCCTCCAAACAAGGTATTGATGAAAATTACTTCCTGCATTTGAATTTCCTAGCAATTATTGAGAAGAATATTATCCTGGCCTGTGAATATTATAAAGCTAGAGTGGTCAGTCGCTGTACAGTTCAATGTGTCCATCCATGATTTGAGTACCCTCTGGACTTGTGGATTTCCAGAATCCTCACTCAATATAATTGTTGCTAAGTAGGTTGGAAGCTAAAAGTCACAGATCTGCTGGGTGTCCAGGGTGATTGGAGAACTTTGGGAAGTTTTAGATGCAGAAATGCATGAGGCTTAGCTGGCGTGGCTCTTTCCACTCTAATGCAGCGTGTGCCGTTTACACCAACAACTTTTGCACAAAGTTCTACAATAGCAACGGGCTCTAAGCATTTTTTCA